AAAACTCATGAAATATATTTTTTAAAAAAATAAATGATTTTTTCATGAAAATAACTAAAACAAATGGGCCCTAGATCTGAGACAAGTAATAATAACTGCTGAAATTTGAAATTACTCTAGCTTCTTGGTAAGATTTATTTATAAATACTCACTTTTCACGTAAAAAAACCTCAAGAGAAAATCCCTACTACTTTTCATAAAGAAAATGCATAAGATCAGGAAACTACATCCAAAACAAGAGGTGAAGTGGGTGTTAAGTAAATTTTCAAACTAATTAAAACTTTTCTCAAGATTTAATTGAAACATATGGTGCAACAAGAAATTTATCAAATAAGTTTGCAATAATTTCAAATACTTTTGTGGCAAAGATCTTGAAAAGCTTTTACAAGATATCCTTAAACTCTTGAAAACTAAAATAAATATTGAAGATAAAATCAGTTTGTCAAAATATTGTCCATGAAGTAAAGTAAATGATAGTTTATAAACAAAGAACCAAGAGAGTGTGCAAGAATGTAATAATGAGCTGAATATAAGGAGTATGGATACATATTCTGGAGAAAGAATTTATCCAAGTTTAGTCCAATCACTTACCTATGTTCAGTTCTCAAATACTTTTGAAATTTCCTTTCTAAGAACACAAATTTCAATAGATGCTTGCTGCTATAGTACAAATCATAAATTTGATTTAACTACTTGTAAATCACTACAAGTTTCTCACTATACCGATGAGTATCTTACACAAGAGAACAACCTCACTTGTCTACAAGGAAGTCTCTTTCTTACTCTTTTCACCTTCATCGAGAAAACTTTTCTTTGTATAAAGATAAGGGAACAATTTCCTTAATTCACGATGAAGGTGTTTTCCTAAAGATTTTTCTCTCAAAGAGATAATAAGAATAGTTTGGGCATGCTTTAAAAAACTCTCAAGAGAGTAGTTAATACATGTAAAGCCTATAAAACTGATGAGAGTAAGTTTCACATAGAAATGAATGCAATTAGGTAAGAATTCAATGATATGGGATTCAATACATGTTCAATCACTACCCACTCACTTAAATGATGTCTTATTTATAGTTTAGATTAAAAGAGATGTTAGAAATACTCAGGATAAGTGAAATGGCTGTTGAAGATGTCTAAAAGTAAAGTTTACAAGAAAAAGCATTTATTCTACGAAGTGCATTAAATGCTTGTTAGAATATCATTCACGCATCGATGAGTAAGGGAACATTTGTGGATTAACTTAAGGCTTAATGATCTGGTTCACTTTAGTTTAGTTCAAGTGTGATTATGATTCAAGTATGTTTTAGAGTTCAGAAACTCCTAACTTCTACTGTGAGATCATACACGTGTGGGTAGAACTGAATTAAGCATGGATTGGAATGTGCTCACTATGATTCAAATCACGATTGAGTCACTTTTGAATTAATCTTGAATTATATTGTTAAGGCTTAAGATTCTCTAGATCAGGCTTAAAAGAAACTAGGTGTAAGAACTCATTTAAGTACGGATCATTAGGGTGTCACGCGCGGATTAAGGAACATTTCAAGCTTGTATAAGGATAATTCAAGCATGAATAAAATACTAACTCAAACAAAAATTAGTTAATAGAAGCAAGTATAAGTTTAATGACTTATTCAAGTATGATCTCAATCTAGAGTCAACCATGATGTAGACAAGACTTGCCTTTACAAATGGCTTAAGCACAAGTAAGACCAGTCTAGGACACACGTGGATTGACCTACAATGTTGAGCAATGCTTCTAAAGTCTAATTCAAGTGATTTTTAGTTCTAACTCAAGCTTGAATTGGATGCATTAAATCTTATAGTGCACAAGGAAGGTTGATTCACACATGTGCTCATGATAGAACAAGCATGGATAAGACATTTTAGCATAGACGCATTTTAAATGTTTGACAATGAATATCTATGATATTATGAGCTTAAGACAATTTAATAGATGCATTCTTACCATTCATTTAATGATTTTACTTTCAATAGTTTTCACAATATATTCTAAGAGAATAAATAAAAGGTTATTAAACCTATAAAGTCAAAGTCTTCTCTTTTTCTTCATGCTTTTGGAGGTTTTATCACTTAATCATTATAAATCTTGATCTGTATAAGTAACAATTAAACCCCTATTTCTTCGTTTTGTATTATGAAAACATATCATTCAACAAAATATTGATCAGATAATAACAAAATTAATTAAATATAATAGAAAATGATGTAAAGTTAAATGTTTTTTTGGCCTAATGAGATTGGTTCTCACCTGTACTCTACCACCTTATTGTGAGTATAGGTGCATGTCACTTTTACTTGCGAGAGTTATCAACATTCTTCCACTTACTGGGTTTTCTCCATTATTTCACTGTATATACAATATGGTGGCTAGGACATGGGTTTGGACAATTTTTGCATAAGATCTTGACATTAATTTTCTATTCTTACAAATTTTAAGTTAAAGGGCTTTGGATAAATCATATATAAACTTTAATTTTTAATTAATGTTATTTTTGAAACTTATTATTAATTAATCGAAATTTAGAAAAGTTATACTTTGCATTTTAAAAGAGTTTTCAGTTTTATTTTAAGTAATTTATTGGTAATAATTTTCACAAAAGCTAGTAATGAGTATTTGAAAACCTTACAATAAATATGTTAAAAATTGATAACAACTTCAATTAATAATTAGTCTCTAAAAATAGGTATAGTTTTTAATATCTTTCAAATTAGTCGTCACCCTGTTCCAGTTATAAACTACGATTAGGCATATAGTGAGCGGAGAGAAAAATATGACTTTACCACAAATCAATTCCTACAATTATGATCTTTGTACATCAAGATTTAAATATTAAAAATTCTAAGTAAGAAATTATTGCATGGACTAGGAGCAACAAGTTTGAATAGTATTTAATAAAACATTTCATGTCAAATTCATTTAATTTTATATGTTACCACTCATTTATATCACATAAAGACAATAAATTAAATAAGCATTCTACTACGAAAAAAAAGTCATTAAAAATAACAGTACATATGATTTTTTATTTAATTAACTTATTGTGCAATTTGATTGAATAGAGCATGGAGTGCTCTTGATCCACGCAAGAATTTTTCTTAATATCATACTCCCATTATACGAACTAGAGAGAGAGAGACATGGTCTGTACTGTGTAGAAAAGCCAAATTAAAGTTGTGGAGAAAAAGAAATAAATAAGTAATAACGTGATCATCTCGTGTAGTGCACACTAAAATATTGCACATAATACTGGGTAAATGGAAATTTTGGTATTTTTTATTTTTCTAAATATATTTTTTAAATGGTCTATAAAATACTAGAGACCATGAGCTGTACCCATGCATGCATTTCCTATGATGATGATTTGAGTGTAGAATGAAATTAAATTTATTTTTTCTATCTTCAAATGATTTTAAAGCTATGCAGTTCCACACTAAGATCTCAATTTTTTTTTAAAAAAGTAAATAAAACAAAATGATTTCCCAAAAGCCTCTGTAGTCCTAAAAGTGATTATATATTTTCGTATAGTTGGAGAGAAATAAAGCGAAAAAGAGGATTTATGTGATATATATATATATATATATCAGAACAAAAGATTCATTAAGAATAAATAACTTTTACCTTCTAGAAAATCTCTTTTACTCAAATTAAGAAATCTCTTCGAATTCAATCTATAAATATTTGCCCATATATATTGTAAACATTGAACCATCACAACGAATTATGATAGTATTTGGTTCAATGACATTGGACATGTGCAATGGTAATCAATATTGCATTACCATTATGAAAGTATTTAGCTTTTTAGATAGGCTCATGGTAATGACTATTACACATCATTACTAAAATGATGGCAATACTTATTCATATCCCTTCCTATGAATCTTCATTGCACTCCATTACCATCTCTCCATTTCAAACTGATATTAAGATCGCTTTACATCCCATTACATTGCATTGCATTTTTCCAAAGGAGAGAGAGATTGAACCAAACGGGCTTAAGTTTTAAAGCTAATCTCTTTAGTCTTAGGACTGAATCCTCCTATGTCATTGATATTGGTAATGGTAATTATCTACATTTATATTGTATGGAGACGGGAGACAAGTTTGAAGCAAAGAAATGCATATCAAATAGCCCAGCTCATCCCCCTCCCTAATATAAAGCTTGAGTTCTTCTAGAACTTAAATTTAAATCAAACATTGACTTAATCAAAGCAAGTAGCCATAGCCAAGTTCAAAATATCATCCATATATACTTTTGGTCATTTAAAATTTTGAACGAAAAAACTAAGTGTATAACACATATCATAGTGGTTTGGATTTCTTAAATATTATTTTAAAGTTTGATTTGTAAAGGTGTGTATGGCAAGCATTACTTTGAAAAGAATAACTCCTTAAATGACACAAATTTTTGGAGTGATTAATTGTATAGCAGTAAGCTCTGAAAATACCTTAGAAAGCCAAAAAAATTGAATGAAAAAAAAAGAGAGAGATCAATTAGATTATCCTTATATGAAATGTTTTTTAAGGATTTAAATCCAAGAAGTTGAGAATCCTCTATTTTTTTAAGAAAGAGAGAATATTTTTATGTTTTATTAAAATAATAAAATGAGAGAAAATACTAAAAAAAACTTCACATAAATTCAGTAATCTTAACTTTAAAAAATTTAAATCTATTTTCTTAACCCTCAGCAAATTTTAAGGTCTTTTTTTTCGGATGAAAAAAAATTAATCAAATGGAATAAGTTTTCTTCATGTAAGAGAAATCAAATATGATAATATGCCTCCTTTCAAACGGAGAATTCATTGGATATATATCAACCCAAACTCCAAAGGATTCTACTTTTGTTTTTCCCCCTCCTTATAAGCAATGAGACTCCACAGGCTTCTGAGAATTTACAATATCAAGATGATTCTCCTTCAAATCCAAACAAACAAACATACAAGGTTTGGTACTAAACTTACAAATTATTAATTTTTACACATGATGAGAAATTAGGAAAGACACAAGGAAGATGCAAAGAGAACCACTGAGAAACACAAGTCCAATTGCACCACAAGCCAAACCCATCGTCTCTGCAATTTCTGATATCACAGCTTCTCTCTTGTGCATATTATGGTGATCATCATAACTTTGCTTATAATTCCACCCTCTTGTACTCATCGCCATCTCTTTCTTCTTCACGTGCCTCATTCTCTCTCTCAAAACCCTCATGTTTGCATCAACAATATTTCCAGACTCACCTGCAAAAAGATCAGAAAGTTATATAGACAGAAAACAGAAATAAATCAAGTACTGATGGAGATCTGATTTGTTGGAGATTAGCAGTTGTTATATTTACCATTATCTCTGAGCTTCTGGGCTCTCATTTTGGGGTAGTGGAAAAGATTGTGCCTGCAAAAAGCTTGGCTTAAGCTACAGAATGGTGAGAGAGAGCAAGCCATGAGCAGTATGGCTGGACTCTTGCTCATAACGATTCCTGTCTATACATTTATACAATCACACGCTTGCCTTGAAATATGAAAAGTTGTTAATTATGTAAAAGATATTAATAAGTACATCAAATCAATTTGAAGAACATGAACATCGCAAAGTTTGAAATTAAATTATAATTTTTAAACGTACCAGATCAGTTTTGACGATGCCTAGCTAACTTCAATAACAAGAGATAACCTATATATATTTTGTGTTTGTGATTTTTATGATTCATCACTTAATATATTCATTTCATTAATGTTGTTCACTTGAGAATCGGAGTAAAAGTCACCTAAATATAAATGTGTATTATTACAACAATCTGCATATAAAATAGTTCAAATAAAACTTAAGAATATATTGCTTGTGATAAGGAATAATAAACTCTGATAATTATATATTCCATTAAAACTAACAGTGTAGTTTATTTATTTTCATAGATCCAAAAATTTTTTTGGGGTATAAATGTATAGAACCAAAGATAATTAAACACAAATCTTTTTTCAGATATTGCATTTCGATTTGATTTTTCCACTAGAATAAAAAATAGGAAAAGTGGCAATAAAGAAGTATTAATTTATGAGTGAAATCTCAGCTAATGATGTCACATCACTTGATTAACAAATATAATATGAAACAAAGAAATGAAAAGAGCCCACATGAACCTATGATTGTTATGCCTTTGATTAAGGAATTTAATAAGAAAAGGTACCCAGGTGTACTCTTAATCTTCAATACACATGGCATCAGTGCTTACTTTATTTAAGGATTGAGATTCAGTCACAAAATCGAAAGAGTGAGAGACACATAGATGGGAGAACACATACATACATACATACATTAAAAATTTACTCCATCCATTAAAAAATATAAAACATATTTAATTAAATCTTATCTTTCAATAAAGTAGTTTTCTTATTCTCAAATTAATTATATTTTTTTTATATTTATCTTATTTGATAGGCTATTTCATCTTAAAATAAATATAAATTAGTTTATTCATTAAGGGCACTTTAACAAAAAGGTATTGATTATATTTTGAAAAATTAAAAATGTCTTATATTTTTTAACATCAAACTCTTCAAAACATGCCTATATTTTTGAATGGAGGGAGTATATTTTAAGAATTTTAAGATATTTTTAAAATATAATTCCATCAAATTAATAACAACAGTTAATTAAAGTGGTCTGGCACTTATTTGTCTTAAGTAAAATATTTTAGCCTATAATTTCATATAAGAATACATTTTAGTTAAAGAATTGAATTTCCAGAAAACTATAGTTTCATCGTATATATGAAATCTTGGCCAAAAAAATCGTATATATGAAATCCTTGCGATAGTATTACTGTGTGGAAAAAGGATAACATGAATGAAAAGTATGGACAATTTTTGTTCGGTTGATATATTAGACGTTACAGAAACTAATAAATAAACACACTACATGATAATTTAATTAATTAATCACCAAACACCATGATTTGAATAACAAAAAATATCAATATATTATATATAAAGGTGTTTACTATAAATCATAAAAAATATGACTTATTTTGAAATATAATAAAATACGAAAATTCTATGTGTCAGTATGCGCGCGTCGCATTCGTAAATGCATATATGTGTGCAAACTGCAAACATACAAGTGTGTATGTGTAGATCTTAATCATTAAGCCAATGCCTTTTGATGGACTATGTGTCATAGGAAAAAAGAATTGGAAATTACCATTAAACAATGGTTTTGAGGTATAATACGTTAACACGTAGCTCTTTAATGGCAGTCCACGTCATTTATAATGTTACTTTTTTTTTTTCAGGATTTGAATCTAGAAAGTAACTTAAATTCACTCATTTAATAAATATTTTAATTATAAACATTGAATTTTGTCAGCATTAGAAAATCATGAAAATATATTTTTTTCTAAAATTTCAAAACAACTCTCAAGATCAAAATACAGTTCACGAGTTCATGTATGTTGTCCCCTTCAAAATTTTAAAATTAATGCCTTTTTGAGTATTATATGTTAGAATTGCTTACAATCATCGAATGAAATTGATAGTTGTTACCATGCTATATACAACACTTATTGAATAAATAGATTATTTGTGCAGGTAATTAGATTCGAATCCGTTCTTTCATGCTCAAAACAGTGACCTCCCAGAACTTTTGAAAAATATAGGGTGGGTTTAATAATTTTAAAGAATAAAATAGAAACGGGTTGACATTTTTCTTTGAATGAAAAAATCTATAAATGTTTTTGAATTTGTTACATTTTCTAAATTAATGAAATCTAAATTATGTATTGTACCTTTCTCTTTAGAATACTTTTATTTTTTTTTCTCAATAATAGCCCGAACAAGGTACTGATAGAAGCTTTTTATTTTCAATATACAATTTCACCATCAATCTTAAAAAAAGTGTAAAAATATACTTCCTCTATTAAAAAATATAAAATACTTTTTAAGAAGTTGGACGTTAAAAAATATAAGATATTTTTAATTTTTTAATATGTAATCATTATTTTTTTCAAAAGTGCCTTATTGAATAAATTATTTTATTTTTATTTTAGACTAAAACACTTTATTAAATAAAGATAAATATAAAAAGATAAGATTAGTTAAAAATAAGTAACTATTTTATTAAAACATAAAATTTAATTAAAAATATTTTATATTTTTTAACGAAGTAGGAGGGAGTAATGCTTATCTTAAAAAAGAGGCTAAATGTACGTTTATTTAAGGGATGTGGTTATGGTTGTGTTCTCCAATCATGAATTTGACGAGGGAGGTCATAATTAATACTTTTTTTTAAAAAAAAAGAAAGATAAACACACTAGTCAACCAGTCAACTCACAATGCTTTCATTAACTTTTTGAGTAAATTACGTTGACATTGTCCAAATTATGTTGAGAAATTACATACGATATATATATATATATATATGTATCAGAAAGATTATTATTTATTCATTACAAAATTATATTCTCTTTTCCAAAGTTTTACTGAAATTTCACAAATTTTCATCATTTATTTTCAAAGCTCCCTCACAAATTAAATTTTCAAAAAATAAAGAATCAACTAGAAAAATATCTTATAAATCTTACCTGAATCACAAAGACTATTTTTTAATTTTAAAGAATATTTGTGTATTATTTAAAAATAAAAAATTGCCTATATTTAATAAAATTTAGAGAAATTTTATGTAATATTTTCTTAGTTTTAGATGACAATGTGTAAATCTAAATAGAAGAAACAGACTTAAATAAAAAAATTTATATGCTTTCAATAAAATTTAATTGAGATAAATTTAAGAGAAAATTTGCTCAATGGCTTCAAAAAATACAACTTTCATAAATTATGGAAGAATTTTTTGAATATTTTGAAATATGGTCCATTCAAAAATAAATTCAATGTGTTTTTACTCCTTTGTCCTCAAATCCGTTAGGTTATTTTTAATAACTAATGTTATTTTTATCTGATTTTATTTGATTTTATTTCTTCATCCAGACGGTTATTTTCACCATCTTCATCAGGGATCGCAGAACATATCTTATTGTATAATGCTTGCCTCTCTTTGTTTATCTTCTCTATTTTTCCCAGACATTGTGATCATATTGAACAGAAAACTGCATTATCGAATAGAAATTGTCTTGTATTCATTTTTCCAGAGGTTGAAGAGAATCATCCATAATCGAATTTCCATCATCTTCATATATTTAAGTAATATATCCATTGAATCAATAAATTATCTATTCTTAATCTATTTTTTGTTGTCATTGATCATGCAATTTGCTTGAATTTCGAATACAAAACATATTATTTTCTCACTGTTCATATTTTTTATTTCGGGTATTTGATTTTCTATGATCAGCTAAGACGTCTGTAATTTTTTTTGAATCTAGTTTGATCTGATTTGGGTGAAGGAGTATGGCGTTTTCGTGTTTTTAATTAACGTTAGTATATCATTGATATACTATAGTATCTCATTGATGGCATTTTCGTATTTCTAATTAACATTAGTATATCATTAATATACTATAGTATCTCATTGATAAGTAATATCAGTAATAACTTACCAACACTATGTCATCTTGTAGATATGGGGATGCTCAATGTCATAATTTCTTATGATGGAAAATAAGATTTGAACAATCGTTACTTTGATATAGGGTAGGGTGTTTTTCAGCTCTGAATAACAGAGAAATCAAGAGGTCTAAGCATCTGATATACAACCCCACATCAAGGATTCTGCGAAAATACCTGATGAAGTAGGATGATTTTTCCTCTTTGGCGCCATTGACAGAATATCTGCAAAATCCTCGCTTGAACTTTGGCTTGAATAACACAGTGTTACCGGACTTCCTCGCCCTGAAGCTGTAGCAGTAATTGTTCCTTAGCTTGGCAGCATTTTTGATTTTTGGCACTGAATTTATAACAGCAAGTCTGTCTCGCTTCACCTTGCCTCGCATTTGTGTGTTTTCCCATATGAATGCAGAGCTTCAGTTTGCCTCACCTAGCATTTGTGTGGTGTCCTTGCTAAATCTTTGACTTCGTTTGTCCACCGACGGCAGCTATTTCGTTGCATGCTATCAATTTCTTCGCCCACAGTCCAAACGCATAGCACTACCTCTAGGTCTTCGTGTTGTACAAGCGAAATGCCATCTCCAGGTCTCCAAGTTTTTGGTTTGAGAAAGGCAATTAGGGTATTGTAGTCTTTAAGGATTATTTCGTCTTTTGGTCCTAAGGGAAATTAGTAGATCGACCATTCTCTTAATTTAGAAAATGGTGAGCTATTAGTTTTATTTAGCTACATAATATTGGCTATATATGCTAAAGCCCCTAAATTTAATTTACTCTTTCTTTTGACAAATAAGAAAACAAAAATTCAAACCTATAAGCTGGCTAACTTCATTACAATTCTTTATCATTATTACACCAAATCTATCTGTTGTAGCGAAACAATTGGTTCATCTAGAACAAAATGGTTCTTCCCTTATAGTTTCCAACATTGGCTTCCTTGACCTACAACACTTCATCCTATACTGAAACCCTAAGTCAACTCCGTCCAAGCTCAACCTTGGAACAGTCTTCTCCACCACCACGAGTTCTTGCTGCGACTGATTTTCACCGCCACAGTGGACCCAGGCCCTCGCCGCACCGCCGCCAGTCAACCGCTTAACCCTCAGGCTCTCGGCTACAAAGATCACTGCCATGTCAGCAGCGGTGACAACGGTGTTGGCTCTTCTCATATGGAAGAAGACGTAGACGTTGCCAAGCTCCAAGTCGTCATCAGCAGCAAGAGGAGAAAACCTATGCGCGATTTGCAGAGAACGAGAATTGGCCAAGAAATGATTGGGACACTCAAGCATGAGCTCTGCTACACTCACAGGTTCTTTAAACAGCTTCACTTCACCTGTGGGGAAGATGACTCTCGCAGCCTTTGCGGTGTTCTTCGTCATCAAAGGAGGCACGAAAATGAAAGTGCAGGAGATGTAATTGCCCATTATAATAATCTGATCGGAAAATATACCAGGAGAAAAAAAATCAGGGTTTTTGAGAAATATCTGTCAGTAGTAAACTTGCTCTTTGCTTTGTCGGAGGTGATGATGAAGGGAAAAGAATGGAATGTTTTTTTACTCGAATCTGGAACTGCTGTATCTGCATGTGAAGGTCTATATATGTACACAAACGCACACAAATGGAGAGTGAGTGCATTAGACTCGAACAACACGCTGGTGTGATCAACATGGGTTGACTCCAACGTGGAATGCGAAAAGTTGTGTTGAAAGTTGAATATCGGACCGTACGTTGAATTTTCTATTGATACTGGGAATATGGGACCAGAAATGATTAGGACCACAAGCTGATTGGTTTGGACCTCATGCTTGAAGCTTCGTCGTAAACTGGCAAAGTTGAAAATTCTTCTAAACACGCTTGGAGAAGGCCAGGCCCCACCATCAATTTTGAGTCGGACCCACACATTCCCTATAACAATTAATATTATGGTTCATTTTTTCCCCCGTTCTGACCTGGTTTAAAATTATACATATATTAAAAAAAAAATTCCATCGAGTCTTTATTATAAAAGTTGAAGGGTGCAAATATCTGTTTGCATATACTTATAACAAGATCCTCCTATTGATAATGGGATCTAATCCTATAATTTTATAAATTATAGATCAAATCATTATCAATTGGATTAGTTTTTGTTATGGAATATAAAAAAATCATTAATTCAAAAGGGGCCAGTTGGTTAAGTGGCACAAGATTGAGCCCTAAAACATACTTTATCTGTAATGTTGGGGGTTAAAATTTGGGAGAAAATCTTTAAGGACCAAGCCACTAGTGAGAACTCTAATCCAAATTTGTATAATGGCTGGTTCCTAATTGTAACTCCATAGTCAGATTACTGTATGCAAAGGGGGAAAAAAAAGAGTTCATCAAATTCAAATATCTTAAAAGTGGATGTGATTTATTACATATTAAAAATTCTCTGAATAGGTCATGTTTAGAGTGATTTCATAACCATGCGCTACATTAAAAGTTGTGCATGCATACCAAGTTGACCGAACCGGTCTAGCTTGCTAGCTCGCGGAAGTTAAATGCAGACCGAGCCTTGTGTTGAAGTGAGACTTACTTTTTGGGTGGAGGAAGGAGTGAAGAAATTATATCCCGAAGAATATTATGAAAGAATATATGTTTTTCTTTTTCTTTTAAGAAAATAGTATTTTAATTTATCGATCTTATATTATATTCCTACTGACAATCAGCACATATTTTGTGTGTCAAATATCATGCAATTATTATAGTTATAACCAATGTTTACAGAATCAGACTGGACATCAAACTGAAAAAATTAGCAGTTCATGGTTTACATGGTCCAACCGATTGGGTTAACAATGAAACAGATGATGTAATAATTAAATTAAAAAAGATATTATATATATGTATATATTTAATGATATAGGTATAAGAAATAAATATAAAATTATTACATAACTTTAAAATAAAACTAAATATTTTAAGTTAATTATAAGTTAACAAACTACATAAAACAACAGAACATTGAATGATGAACAACAAGAAGTCAAATAGTTAACATATGACAAGCTAAATTATTAGAGACTTTAATTCACAAACAACAAACATCAAAAATAAAATTAAAAAAAAATCAGATGCTTCTTATTTTATCTCACAGCATTATGCATTTTGTGAAGAATCTTTGAAATCATTATTGCGAGGGCTGGCTAGAGTAGAACTCATAGGATGGAATGGCTATTACATATAATTAATAGCTTTTCCAGATTTGATTTAACATACACATTAATTTAGCTTTCCATGGATTACATTATGCTGGAGTAGAAAATTCTACAGAAACAGTTCTGTAGAACCAAAGCCAAGTTACATGATTCACAAAAAACGCCAATCACCGCAAGCCAAGTTATTCAGATATAAAGTTGTAAGTTCAACATCTGAACCTAACCAAGCATCCCGTGAGAAAGAAAGGCGTGAACTTGATATTGAGGACAAGACTATTTCCATTGTAATACCCGACATAAGGAAAAGCACAACTACCTCAAAAATTGTAAGATTTTCGGGTGGATTCTCTGGACCCAAGAAGAAGAAAAAACTCGCAAGGGAGGACAATGGATGGAATCGCAACGGATGATGGCTGAATGCACGACGGATGATGGGTGGAATCATGACTTCGTGAGTGCGGCAGAGCAAAAGCAGAACTCCACGTCTTTGATGCTCTTGTCTGAGCTCCGAAGTCGAAGCAAGGGATTTTTAGGGCTAGAAGTGAAAAAAAATGGGTAAAATTTTGACTCGTCTGATTCATAAAAAAATCGCTTCGGTTCGTGATTTTTTAACAGTTTTTGGTCGAAGGCCCGGTTTCAAGCGATCCAACCAGATTTGATAGCACAAACGATTCTATGGCTCAAACCGAGCTATTATCATGACTAGCTGATGGTCTGACTAGTCGAATGGTCCGATTGTAAAATCATTGGTTATAACTGTAATAGACTGTCTATCATAAGAAAGTCGTTATACATTTTTTTTTTAAGTAAAACGAAAGTCTTTTTACACATATAGCACTTTTAGTGTGGAACATAAGACAAGATCGTGAAAGTGTTAAGTAATCTTTTGGATATGAAGTGGGTCAAAAAATAATATTGCTGCAGTAAAGAATATAAAATATTAGATCAATTTAAAATACTAAATCTTTAAAAAGGTTGTTGGCTAGATTTTTGGAGTATCATACCCTTGCAAGTACCAAGCGTGCTAGAGAAGAATTTATCTATAATTTGTATAAATTAGCAATTATGGGTTCTCAAAGTCCTTTTTACTGCAATTTTCTTGTAGTGCCTAAGCTTTTCAAGAGTATGAACGTGTGAAGCAAGTCACAAGAAATAACCATTCATTCCTAGGGAATGTGTATAGTGTAGGCGTTTTTATGAACGGAGTGAGAAGTAAAGTAATAATCTAGATACCCGAGATCGGAGATAAAGGTTGCGTAGGGTGAAGATTGACACACTAAGATTCAATTGATTTGAGTTAATTGGTTGAGTTTGATGAGTGCTTGTGAGCTCTTCTAGTGTTCGCCCCTTTGCTTGTACACTTACAGGTCACTGCTCTTTGATTCAAATTTAAATTTTGCCCACTTAAGTGGAGCTATAATTGTTTGTGCCATCTAGGAGAGCCTAGTATTTTAAAATGGGAGAATGTGGTTCGTGGAGCGTTCTAAGATTCTCGGATCTTGGTTATATGGATAGGATCTAGTCGCTGACCCTTGAAATGCAACATTTCACTAAAATTCTTAAGGTCCAATCTTGTAAAGATCCATCACGCTAGACCTGCATTCATCTATTGTCTCTTCTATTAGGCCTTTTCTATTTAGTCCAACCCAATAGCATATCTTTTGGTCCAAACAAAAGTATACAATTCCTAGTCCTTAATTAGTTGTTGATTTTAGTGAAATGATTGCTTAATTATAAAAATCTCAAATTTGAGTTGATGTAAATGTAGAAAAAACTTTATTAATGATAAACAATAGTGGAAACAAGGGGCACGGGTCTTATGTGGCAAGAACAAATGCAAAGAGAGCATATTCGATGACTACAATGGATAGCAAGCGGCAAATGAGGACGACAAAACAGAGAGAGGTGCAAATTGGACAACCATGACGGATGACAAGCTAAATAGATGGAAGAATGACAACTAACTCAACAGATGAAGGGACACCAACCTAGATGGAATAGACAATGACACCAACCTCGACGAAACCAATGACAACCTCCACGAACAACTAGAACAGCGAGCACAGACACAAGAGGCAATGGCAGTGAGCGAAGACATATTGAAAACTTGCACTATAAAAAACAACGAATTAGCGACGGAAGCTCATTTTATTCGCTAATCTATCATTAATCCATCTCTAATTCAATCACTAATTTACCAATGAAATTTAGCAATAGAATGTTTTGTTATTAAAATTTTATCATTATTCCGTCACTAATCTGTCAGAAATAATTTACCGATGAAATTTATCGTCGGAAATAATTTACTAACGGAATTTAACGATGAAAAATTTTATAACTAATGGTTAGGATATCTTGTTTTGATTTAGTGATGAAATCTGTGATAAAAAATTCTATCACAAAGCTTTCTATCATAATTCTATTGCTAATTCCATCACAAATTATTTTTAATTTAATTTTATTACTTATAATATATATTTATATATAATTTATTTAATAACTTATTATTATGCTATAAATAAATAATTTAAACAATATAATTTAAAATAATTTATTATTTTAAATTATTTATATATTATTAATAATAATTTAAATTGTATACTTAATTATTCTTATTTAAAAATAAAAAATAAAATAAAATAATTAAAAAATAAAAATTTAAAATATTATAATATAATATGTAATGATAATAAAATATTTTTCAAGTTAATATTAAATTTATTACCAAAAATAATTTTTTAAATAAAATATAATAGAAAAATTATTATATATAAATTAATTTTTCCATATTAATAAATAAACATAATGTTAAAAAAATAAGTAAATCTAAATACTATATTTAATAATAATTTCAATAATATATTTATTAATATATTGGTGTCTAGTTAGGTATTATATATTTAGTTTATCAATTAAAACTGAAGATTCCTTTCAACTCGACTAGTAACAAGGTGAAAGGTAATAATATTTGACATGATAGTGACAAATGACGTGGTGGTGAGGTGGCACTGATCCATTGAGTGATTAGGCAATGGTGAGGTGGCATTGGTCCACCAGGTGACGTGACAATAATATTTTGGTCCACGTAATAAATTAGCAATAGAATGCATTTCGTCTTAAAGTCAAAATAACTTATTCTTATTTGGTGACAAAAAATTTTCATCGCTATTCCGTCACTAATTAGCGATGGAATGCAATTCTATCCCTAATTTTGTCACTAATTAGTGATGGAGTTGCAAATTTTGTCGCTAAAGAATTAGTAACAATGTTTTTATCAACAAAAATATTATGTCGCTAATTCCATTACTAATTCATTTTGCAACAAAATTTTTATTGATTGGTGACGGAATAATTAGCTGTTTTTTGTTGTGTTGGTTGAAGAGGGGTAAAAGAGAGAAAAGAGAAGAGGAGCATTGGTTGAGCTCGATTGGTTGAGTGGAGAATAAAGGAGAGAGAAAAACCTTGACAAAATTTAAATTAATTAAAGTTGCATTTGGATGAGTGAATTTGGATTAGAAATTTGGATTTGAAATCTCACATTTGAAATTTGTAGATGCTTAAATTTTTTATTTGGATGAGATAAAAAATTTTAAATTATAGTATTAAAATTCTTTATTTGAATTTTAAGTAAAATTTCAAATTTTAAATTCTATATTTAAAAGCATCCAAGTTGATGTACCAAACAACCAATGCTGACTAAGACCAGATCGTTGGTGTCGATCGGGACTAAATGACAGACTTGGATCAAGATCAAGGTCAGAATGAAAACTTCAACTAGGGTTGGACTGCTGGTGCTGTGTGAACCATATTGTTGACTTCAATTAAGACCTGATTGGGCTGACTTTTTGATCCTAATCATAGTTCGCCATTTGATCTCGGTTAAAGTCGACAGTCTAATCTGTGTCAGCACTGGTAATTCAGTCTTGATCAAAGTTTGCGATTTAGTCTCCATCAAAGTTAACGGTCCAATCCAAAAGATTAATGAGCTTTTAACACCCAAGATTTGGGTGGCCAAACCTCAATTGGTGTTTCATTCAAATTTATCTTTAATTATTTGGTCTAAATAATCTTAGTTAACTATTCAATAATCTTAAATATTTTATTGTTAATTACGTCTTCAACTACATTTTGATTTTTTTATTTTATCTTTACTTCTCACTCTTAGTTTATATGTCAAAATGGGAATGTATAATTTAACTTGATACTACATGTGCAAGAAGAAGTTTGACTTTCTTCCTCAAGCTCTAAGAAATCTCCTTTTGCTTCCTTTTGCTTAGGAAAAATAATCGTTAGCTTGCAAGTTTGTATTGTTGTCTGAAAGCACTGAAGAAGGAATAAAGTTTGATGAATGCTCTCCTTGTGCATCACACGAGTAGTACAATCTAGTACATACAAGTAACTCACGTTTGAGCATGTGAATGTCTCTTAAGCTTAATAAAGATTTAAGGCATGTATCAAATGGATGTAAATTAATAACCTTAGAAAGCCATAAAGCTATCTTTGACAAATGATAATACTCCAAATCAGATTAATTTGAAGTAAAAATAAATATTATCGATAAATTCTTTAATGTGCGCATCTAAAAGAAATACTACTTTGTTTAAACTAATATTAACTAGACTAAGTGAAATTCATGCTACTTATTTTAAAAGCAAGATCAATAATTTAAATCTATTGAAACCGTACGTTGATTAATACTAGTAGATATGAATAACTGTAAACTAAAGTCTACCATTGATATTTTAATTTTGTATAAACTTTTAGTTCAATCTTTTAATTTTATAAAGTACTTTTTCAATTCTCTAATGCTTTCCATTATTAATTTTAAATAATTATATTTTATGCTAATTATATTAAACTTAATATGTAAAACATTATTTTGTTAATATTTAAAATTTTAATATAAAAATTTTTATTGCTGAAACTAACTATATTAATTATAATTAAATGACTGAAAAAATATTTTATAAAATTATTAAAGGAAAATGAAATTATAAATAATTGTTGTATGTAAATTTAACTAGTGAGTGTCCAGAACTGGAGGCCAATAATATATGCACATTTTTTTGCTTGATATGTTCCATTTTCTGTTTTGGATGGTGGAGGAGGCAGAAGTATTGTGGACACATTAAGATCACTTTCTCGAAGTATTCTCATAATCATCCCAAGATTCGTTGAGGCGAGATGCTCTCTGAGGAAGGAGGGTTATAGGGATCTTGGCTCTTATGTGAAAGCTTGTCTTTTCAGCCTCGGTGAGTTCCTCAAGACTTCTCCAGCAGTGTGCTTCGCCATAGTTATTGAGATGAGCAGCCCCGTAGAGGAACACTCATTAGCGAAAGCTGCGAAACTTACTGAAAATCTTTACCACACCCGAGACACCTATTTCCCGGAAAATCAAGATGACAAGATCTCCAAATTGCGAGAACAATCCGATCTTGCTCTGAAATTCCTCGATTCTATATCTCCAGGTAAAAATTGACCTATTCATATAAACTTGTATCGTTTTATGTTTGAGGAACTCCTACTACTACTTCCCCAGTTCGGTTTTCCAGAGAACTGAGCCTGCAGATATATTGGAATTGAGGAAACTGAACATAAAATGAGTGCATGAATGAGATTCTGTGGTGTAATTTGCGTTTCTTTTTTATTGGTTCAAACTTCAATTATCAGGTTGAAAATGCTTATTCTGATGTGTTGCTTATTCAACAACCAATGAACCTAGGGTTGAATTTCAATGAATTCGGGAACTATTTTATTGTGTTATGAGGATTTGGAAAATTCGGTTTTAAGAGTTTCCGAATACCTCGCAAGTATGACTGAAATTACCATAGCGTACATTTGAAGACATAACATATGATACTGCAGTACCAGTCAGAATAACCTGAAAAATGAAACTTTGTTATGTACAATAAGGATGATAAATGTAAAAAAATGTCATTTTTTGTTTTGACTTTGCGGAAAAGGTTGCAAAAGTCACTTGACTGCAAGATAGTAACTACGATAGCCTCTGAGGGAGAGATCAATAAAGAGCGAAACAGTTGAAAAGAGAGGCAAAGGGAGGAGATATAATTTTATAGTCAAATAGAAGAGTATGGGGAACATGGTAGGGATCAGTTAATCCTTACACGCACGAATAGATGGAGAAATATTATGTGGGTTTCAGTTTTAATTGATTCATTGGAAAAAAAATTGGGTTCAATTAGCCCTATGGATCATCATAACATTGAAATATTAGTACCAACATACTTCATGAAATGATACCACCTCAGAGATAGCAAAAATAAAGGTCAATCAAATCTTCAGCCAATTTGGGACTGATCAACCATAGAATTGAGTTTAAGATATTGAAATCAAAATAAGAGCCAATAACATATAGGAGATGTTTCTATGAATTTCTCTTCATTGTTACTGTCTCAGTTGCTCAGATCTGTATCTGTGACAATGAAAAATAATTCATTTAGTGCCAGATTATTAACTCTTGAAAGTCAACATGATTCCTTATTACTATGTTTTTTTTTTTTGTATATATGATGGATCTGAAGTTATTGGGCCTAATGCATTGATTATGTGTAAGAGGAAGGCAGGGAAAAGTGAAACTAGCTGTGGTAATTTCTCATGAGCTGGACAGATGGATGAAAAAAGGGCAATAATAGTGTTAAGTAACTCAAATGGGTTGTGAGGGTGTGTGGGACACAGAGAGAGAGAGAGAGAGAGAGAGAGAGGCTGTTAGCAGAGAATGTATTGCGGACTGAGAGGTCAGTGTGAGGAAAGCACATATTTGGCTTAGTGGAGAGTCTCTGATCTATCAAATACCAGAGGAATAACTTTTTCTTTCTTCTTGCTATTTTCGTTTCTTTGCTTGCTGTAGATGCTGCTTCTTCTATCATCCAATTGTCTATTTTCTTCTGTGGGCAAAGATATACAGCTTTATTTCATAAGGAACACATGATTTGATTTGGGTTCCAACAACCAAGTATCTAAAATTCATAAAATTATCATCTTTTCCAGAGGAGAGGAAGTCACCTATGCAACGTGCAACATTTGAGTATTTGAGAGGGAAGATATTGGATGTATGTCCTGACTATAACAAAGAAGCAGAGGAGCATCTATCAAAAGCTGTAAGCACAATCAAGTTGTTAGTTTCTGTGCCTATATGTAACTATCTTGCAATTGATGTTGAAGGGGATGTTTTATGACTAACACTTCTATTTCTATGCACCAGGTTAAGCTAAACCCATCTCTTGCAGATGCTTGGCTATGTTTAGGTAACTGCATTTGGAAGAAAGGAGATCTATCTGCTGCTAAAAACTGCCTTAGTCTTGCATTAAGCAAGGTTAGTGCTGACATTAGATTCCCAATACTTGACTGGTGTTGAACATGTTGAAACACTGCAGAGCGTGTGAGCATTTTGATTTTTCATTTTTCTTTTTCCTCTTGATGTCTGTATTTGTTGAATAACAACCATGAGCCTTACCCTAGCTGATCTGATTCATGTAATGGAATTCTGTTATGAGTTCGTTTGCTTTCAAGGACCATAATGATTAATTTTAACTGTGAATAAAAAACATTCATAATCCGGACAAGTGAACACATAGAAACAAATAAATGTGAAAGATAGAAATTTTCTGATGTTTATTAGATTCTTCATTTTTACTTGAGCATGAAAGCAGAAATCAAGGTTTTTCTGATGTGAGGATGAAAAAGTTCTATTCAGTTGTGCCATCTGTGTGCTTCACTATGCAGTGTTTAGCTGAAATGGAATGCTTGGATTTTCTTGGATAAGCCTTTTAGTAAAATATTTTATGACATAGGTTGTTTATTGTTTATAAGGGTTCTCTTTGGCATTGCCAGGTCTGTTCACAAGACATGCAGAAAAATTGGAGAGCGTCATTGTGTTGATGAACTTGTTTTCTGTATTATTTTTCTCATGCATTCCTTATCCTCTCCTTTTAATAAAATTTCTTGTTATATCAGAAATAATTAGCTGAAACCTTTTCTCGTGGAAAGTGGGAATAAAAGAGGAAGGGAAATGTGAATTGATTGAGAGAATATATTGATGTATTAGTTTTCTTCTTGATTTGGTGGAATATTGAATTGGCTATAGAGAATATATGTTGCAGATAAGAAATTTACTGCAATGACTGAAGGATTTCAAGATTTTAATTAGACTTTTCTATTCACATTTATTGCAGATATATTAAAGACCATAACTTTTCTATTCTTTCTGAGTGTCAGTTTTGCTCTGCATCAGGTTCAGATTTTGAATTGATTGACATCGTGATATATATTGGTTTTTTTTTTTTCAGGGTCGTGACAAGAATATTCTTTGTCAATTATCAATGCTTAAAAGAAAAATGTCACAAGGTAAGGGATTCAATTCTAATTTTTATCATTAAATATCTCTTACATTTTTCTTAATTTATCCTAATTTCCTTGGTAATTGTTGAATTTTTTCAGCACTTCTAAAGAGTGCTTGTGGTTGTGGTCCAGTTCTTTCAGTTTTTTTCATAATTCATGTACAATTGTGATTTCGAAAAATCCATTCCTTCACAGGTGCTGAGAATCAAGCAGAACTTGTTGAGGAAAGCATTCAACACGCCAAAGAAGCTATCACTGTGGATGTCAAGGATGGTTATTCTTGGTGTAAGATTCTTTATATGCTGCTAACATGTATTCAAAGAACAATCCTGGCTTTGCTATCAAACAACAGTTCATATATTGACACAATCACACTGGGTATTTAAAGTTCATATCGTCTTGTCTTTGTTAGAGTTTCATTATACAAGTTCTCTTCTCTTTGGTATGCGATGATACATGTATCATCATGTATGATGTGGGAAATTTGGCTTATATGTATGCCCATTACTGGATAGAACAAAATAGGCAATAAAGTGATTAAAATGCTTTTATTTCTTCCCCTGAAATGAGCATTGAGGATTGTAATATGACATTATTTGAATGCCTAATGATGTGGATGGTGGGAATTGACCGAATGAGGGGAGAGGAGAGTGAAGGGAAAGGTTTCATTGTCATCTCTCTGTTGTGGTGAATTTTCCCGTTCTCTCTCTATCTATAGAAGAGGGAAATTGAGGTAAAATTAATAGTCCAAACTCTAAAACCCTTAACTCCCATCTTTTTTAGTTTTATTGATTTGTGAGTCGGGAAATATATGATAGTGAATATTAGACATCCAAACTAAAGAAAGGAAATTCCTAAGTTAACCTCTCATCCTCTTTCCTTCCCTTTTTCTTCTGACTCCAACAAGTCCTTAAGAAGCTAAGTGTTTTGCCTTAAGAAGCTAACGTGTTTTCTAGATACATTGCTATTCCTTCAAATTCACTTTTCCCCCTTTTGAATGAATAACGTTTATAAGAGAAACCAAAGTGGTCCATTCCCCTTTCTCTTTGTATTCTCCCTAAAAATATTTGGTTGTTCTGAAAATAATACTGCAAAATTTATATCTTTAACATAATCTGATTTTCTTGGCAGATAATCTTGGAAACGCATGCCTTACTAGTTTTTTTGTTTCTGGAGCTTGGGATCATAGCAAACTTCAACATTCTGTAAAAGCATATCAAAATGCTGTGAGTACAAGTGAATGAACTGGTTGATTATAGGCTTTTCTTTAATAATGCTGGAAACATAAAAGTTTTGTTAAATATATGCCAGGAGAAAGATGAAAGAATGAAGTCCAATCCAGATCTATATTTTAATAGTGCCATTGTAAGTTTAATACTTTTTTTTTTTTGAGTTTCTATTCTCGTGAATCTTTTTCTTGATTTCCTTCATATTTCATATTATTCACTTTTGCTATTCTCAGTCTTTCGCTATTTCATAAAGTATCATCATTCCCATAATGTACAGGGTTAGATATTTGGAAGACTCAACCCTCATGATTCGTGACTGATTTTACTTATATGGAGGGAAAAGAGCAAAAAAAATGCTTAACCATGTAAATTGAATTGGTTTTTCAACTGATAATTATACTTGGTCCTTTAACCATGCAAATTGAATTGGTTTTTCAACTGATAATTATACTTGGTTTCTTGCCTCTTGTTTCTAGATTATACTAGAACTTTTTCCATATAATTCTTCAGATAAATTGTCTTCCTCTATCATTTATGGAGACAGTTTTGTGTAATTCTGTTTTGGCCTGAAGCTTTGGTGTAATTCTTTACTAAAGGTTTTCCCCTTTGCATGTTTAGTATTCTGGTTATCAGCTTATCATAGTTCTTTCTTTAAGGACGGATGTATCAGGCTTTTAATTAAGTGCACTCAGCATAAACTCTGAATACGTTTATAAGTGTGAGCCTACCCCAGTTTTAGTAATGCCTTCTCGACCAATTCCAACTTCAATAGAGCAGGAAAATAACCATGTTAAAATCACATGCACTGTGTTCTTTACATATTTCACATGAACAATACTTAGTTTTAGCTTTTGCTGGTTAATTATTATCGTGAATAATTTTGTCACAGGTTAATAGATATCTAGAGAATTATGAGAGGGCCCTCAGTGGGTTTGAGGCTGCTGCCTTAAAGGATCCAAGTCTAAATGCTGCTGCAGAGGTTCAGAAGATAGTAAGCCTGCTTGACAAGTTGGACTATCTTATGAGGGTAACAAAATTTTTCATTGGATGTAGATTATGAAATACTGTAGCGGTAATATAAAGCTAATGGTTCTTGAACGCTATATTTACTTGACTTGTCTGGTAATTTTGATTTTCTAGTATGATTCATATAATGATAGAAACTAGTAATTTCACTAAACATTCAAGTTAATCCCCAGTTGTGCTCCCCTTCACTAAACAAGAAAGAAGATAGTGCATGATGAGTTAAAAAATGTTTGATTATTAGCAATTAGTGGGATATCAGAGTGCTTCTGTTTCATGTGAGATTTTTATGCAGGGGGGGCATTTGAAAGCTAAGCGAATGGCAAGTTTGGCCTCATCTTTAGCTGCTGTTAATTGTAAGCTACCCTCTAAACTATGAGTTTCAGTTCATGTTCTCGTTAAATTTTGTTGACCTCTCTTTCCCTTTTTTTTTTTGTTTTTTTGGTCCCATATTTAATATGTTCACTGTATTCTTGTCTTCCCTTCTGTAAAAGTGAATCCACCATACAATAGAGCTACTACAGACGGTATGTTGGAGGGTCTGAACAGAGCAGTAGCCATAGACGGGAAGGTATTATTCTTTGTTACGCATGACACTGTTGCTCCCCTGTAAGTTCTCAAATCCTGAGGATTAGCTCTCATGTTTGAATGTCTAATGTGATTTAATTGGAAGATTATGTCTTTTTTTTTTTTTGGGCCAAAAGATTATGTCAGAATTTCATTGGATGCTGTATTACATGTCTATGCATTATATGTTGTCTTCATTGACATTATCTTTTTTTCTTAATTTTTTGCATGCAGAATCTTTTTCTTTTATGGTATTTTGTGTTTTCTTGTTTTCTTGTTTTTTTTTAAGGAAAGAAGGTGGGGTGGGAAGGAAAATTGGATAAGAAATCAGGATTTTCAAATTTCACAACTGAAAGAAGGCAACCATTAGTAAATAGAATTGCAAGTTTATGATAAACTGGATGTGGAGTCCTAGGTGAGGCATACAATCTGTCATGGCTTAAATATACATTGCAGCTTTCTATAGATTTTATATATATATATATATATATATTTTGATTTTTATATTAAATAAAGGATAAAAATTACATATTCATCTAATTTAAAAAGCCAAAGGAAAAAAAGGGGGGGGGACGCCGCTCAATTGTAAGTACCTCTTTCTTGCTAATGATTGTGATAGTGCTTTTCCCCTCATACTGAAGAATCTTTGAGGCATTCCTATTTTTCATTGGAGGTTACTTGTTTCTTTGTAACATCCTAACTATTATTGACTCTAGTTTTTTTAACTTATAATTGTTTTGTCTGAAATTTAAAAGTCATAGCTATGATAATATTTTTGTTTTAATAAAAATTTGGAAAGCGGGTTGATAAAGTAATGAATACACATTGGGATAAATTGGATTCTGGGTAGTAGGGCTGTCATGAAAACTACTCAGAAATTAGTTTGAGAGCCAAGTAAGAAATGCTAATTCTGGTTTCATATAACTTGTTTTCTTTTTATTCTGCAGATACTATTTGCTTTCTGATTCAAACCAAAATTGCTTTGTTCTTACTGTTTATGGCATGCGTATAGATGTGGTAAGAGACCATGAGTTAGTTGCTGCAGTTTTGTCTTATTTTCCCTTCTAATGTATTTTAAGCATATTAGCCATTGTATATCATAAAATCTAACTTTTGTCTAGGAAAGAGATGCTACATGATATGCTTATTTGAGTGTACGCATGCTTCGGAGCCTAGATGACGTGGCCAGACAGACACAGACACGACAGAAATATGAAGTGCTTATCATAATTGAAAGTGTTGTTTATTTCTAATGTTATAGTGCAACTATTGTCAAACACGACTCCTTTTCTGAAAGCATGGTGTCAAACTGCTGTAGATCTCCAAGGAATTTAATTAGATAATCTATGAGATCAAGAACTGATTACGGATGAACCCTTTGTCAGAATTGTCTCCTTTAATGTAAACATCTAAAAGCCCAAAACATGAGAAGAAAAAGAAAGGAAAAAAAAAAAGCATCTATCCTATTTGATATTTTGCATTAGTAGTGGAATTAATTGGTCCTTTCTTTCATCAGATCAAGGAAAGAGATCAGCTAACGCTGCTTGATCCATATTTCCGTCAGGTTGATTTTTCGTGGAAGGAGAAGGTATGCTTGTATATCCAATTCATTCTTTCTTTTGGATGTCCATTTGCTGGTTAAACTTGTTTAATGGAACTGATCTGAACTTGCTCATGTTTTGGTTGTTGTACTAATCAATAGATTTTCTAATTCTCCAGTGATAATATTAATATCATCAAACTAGTCATTCTGACTAAGTATTCACCTTGTGTTATGTGTGTGTATCTTAAATTAGCATTACCAATTCAAGTCTATACGAGTGGACTTCCCTGAACAAGTACTTGTGAATGGAAAAGCTGTGACCCCTCAACAAGTTGTTCGTTCGTCGATACATGCACAGCACAAACCTTGACGGGACTCATTACCAGGAGCTTTGCTTCTATGGCTGTTTGTGGTTAGTTTGGAATGGTGTATATTTCTGTTGTAAATGCATTTAGGTGGTGTATTTACGGGGGGAATTTTTGTCCCAGCTTGTGGATTGATGTTACTATGGAGGGAAGTTCGGTTTTGGTTTTCATCTTATGTATTTACAGTAATTTTTTTGTTTTTAATTTTTTGGGGGATTTTGGCCATCACCTGAACAAAGTATTTGGAGGGCAGCTTTTACTTGACTACCTCACCAGCTTGTGCATTTTATTGTGGATAAAGCTTGTATGTAAATTCCGAGACTGTAGTGCTTGACATAGAAAAGATTTTTTTAAGGAAATATTTATGCTTTGTAATTATTATTTAATAATTTTTTTTTGCAAGTAAAAAATATTGAATTTGCATTTGGATCCTCAATATATTACAAAAAAAAAAAACGTACATTATTTTAGAGAAAATAATTAGAGAAATAATTTAGAACATGAATAGACTGAAAATTTCATCGGCTTAATATATATATATATATATGTATGTATGTATATGGCACTTAAGTCTCATTATTATGTATAATTATTTGGCTAATTACACAGAGATGCGTCATATCCCTGGGGCTAGCTGATCTCACTTTTACGTATTATTGTAAATCTTGGCCCACAAATGGGAATGTGAGCAAGTTACCATTCTTCAAACAGATAAATTATTGTTTATAAGTTTAAGAGAGCCACTTTGTTGTTAAATAAAGACTCAATTATAAAATTAGTAAATGAACTATAAAATTTAGCAAATTAAAATCGTACAAACTCTCGATTAGAACAAAGTCAACTTCAAATCAAGGTTAACTCAAGTGACGCGAGAAAAATTTCTTCGAGTTTGGGCAATTTCAAGTGGCCGTTAGCCATGAAGGTGCGTGAAGGGAAGTATAAATTTCGACATCATGAAAATGATTGAGATCTCAAATCCTAACATATTTATGTTAAAAAATTGTAAATCATAATAATTATGCTATATTTGGCCAAAACAATTATAATGTTTTAACTTTGTTTGAGTGATCTGACTTTGATTTGGCTTGAATCAGTGTTTGATTTCTACTGGGGTTGCTTCTGAGGCTGGGGAATGTTCTGCTATTGGCAGAGATGATGTATTCTTATATTTTATTTTGCTTTTAGTTTTCTTTTCCTTCTCGTAATCAAACATTAATTTATGTCACTTGTGTTAGGTGCTTTTTGTTTTTTTGAAAATTTTAATGAGAACCTCTTGACCCAATTTAATTTTAATCAAAACTTCAATAATTCTGAAATCTCACTGCACATGTGAGAGATTCATATGAAAGTAAAGAGCGAAGATCTTATTATTCCTGCTACTATGTATGATTGATATATGAAAAATGAACAAATAATATTTAAAAAATAAGCAACAGATAGAGGTTAAACTTGCAACTTTCATATAGCTAGGTGCATGGATAACTCGTATAAGAAAAATGAATAGTTAATGTATAGAAAATGAACAATTAATATAAGTGAAATAAAAGTTATAAATTCATAATGGTGTTTTGCTATTAATGAAAGTTGCAAATTTCACCTATGTCATTTGTTCATTTTTCTTATATTAATTATTCATTTTTATTGCACAAGTTGTTCATACACTTGGCTTTACTAGAAATAATAATGTCATTTCAGTTAACTCTTTAATTTTATTTCAGTACCTCACATGTATAGTGAAATTTCAGAATTTTAAGAGTTTTGATTGAAATTAAGTTAGGTCGAGGAGTTCTTATTGGAATTTTTCCTTTTTCTTGTATGGATAAGATGACAATTTTGTCTTTAAATTATTGTGTTAGAATAGTTGAGACCATATTTTTTTTAGTACAATTTTTCCCCTAGGTCAAAATATACCCCCTTCCATTAATTATAATAATGTTGGTAGTGAAGTTAAAAAAAAAATGAGCCTCACAGTATAAAAGTAACGGATGTTTTTATCTGATAATTAACGGAAAGAGGCACATCAAGACATTTTTAAATGCTGAACACCAAGATTACACCCAACAAAAAAAAAAAATAAGGATCCTAATTACTTTGCGATCTATAGTTTAAAGACAAAAATATCACATTTAACCTTTTCATGTTTAGTTAAGAAAATTTATCTACTAAGATTTTCATTTCAGATACCATTAAGTCATGTTTTAGCTGAATTTTTCAGAGAAGTCCGATAATTCCATAAGATAGATAAATTATCTATCGTGCATGTATTTTTGAAAAAATATTATTCAAGGACCACTCATATAAATTGATATCAAATAAGGATTACAAGATTTTGAAATATTACTGTAGAATTAGGAAACTGATTTGAAAATAAGTTTACATAAAAAAAAGATTATAATACTTCTACTTTTCTTTTTCTTTTGTAAAACTTGTCAACTGGTTTCTTGTTAAATGTGAATAAGTGCTTATTAATTCATAAATTATTACTTATTTATACATGATCTATAATTGTTCTTTTCTACAACAAAGTTTTTTCATATTTTTAAACTTGTCAATTAACAAATAATTCTTATTAAATATGAATATATACCTATTACACTATAAAAAAACAACTGATTAGCAACATAATCAGTGAAAATTCCGTCACTAAATGAATTAGTGATAGAATTAGTGAAGGAATATTTTGGTCAGTATAAACATTATCACTAATTCGTTAGTAATGAAATTTGCAATTCTGTCACTAATTTTTGACAGAATAGCAACTAAAATTTTTCATCACTAAATAAAGATAAGTTATTTTGATTTTGTGACATTTTTCAACAAGTTTATTCCGTCACTAATTTTGTTGTTAATTTATTAGGTGAATTAAAATATCATTGCCATATCACCTGGTGGACTAATGCCATCTTACTATCACCTAGTCACTTAGTGGACCAGTGTCACCTCACTGCCACATCATTTGTCATTGTCATATTAAATATTATTATCTTCAATTGTGCCTTGACTAACCTCGAACTTACAACTTCATACTCGCTAGTGCCTTTGCATTCACCTTGTTGTCAGTTGAACTGAAAGGAATTTTTAATTTTAATTGATAAATTAAATATATAATACTTAACCACACACACATATATTAATAAATATATTATTTAAATTATTATTAAATATAGTATTTAAATTTATTTATTTTTTAACATTATATTTATTTATTAATATGAAAAAATTAATTTATATATAATAATTATTTCTATTATATTTTATTTAAAAAATTATTTTTGATAGTAAATTTAATATTAAATTGAAAAATATTTATTATCATTATATATTATATTATAATTTGTATCTATAAAGTATATAATATTTTAAATTTTTATTTTAAATTATTTTATTTTATTTTTATTTTAAATAAGAATAATTAAGTATAAAATTTAAATTATTATTAATAATATAAAAATAATTTAAAATAATAAAATATTTTAAATTATAATTTTAAAATTATTTATTTATAGCATAATAACAAATTATTAAATCAATTATATATAAATATATATTATAAATAATAAAATTAAATTAAAAATAATTAGTGACAGAGCTATGTTAGAAAGCTCTGTGACAGAATTTTCAGTTGTAAATTTTATTACTAAATCAAAATAAGATATTCTAACCATTAGTGACGAAATTTTTCATTGGTAAATTCTAACAATAAATTATTTTCGATGGATTAGCAATGGAATTATGATAAAATTTTAATGACAAAACATTCTGTCACTAATCCACTATTTTTTTGTAGTATTAATTAATAAATGACTACCTATTGAAACATGATATACTTGTTCTTTCTTGCAACAAAGCTTTTTTATATTCCTGAACTAGTCAATTAATAAATAATTTTTTGTTAAATATGAATGGATACTTGTTAATTAATGAGTGGTTATTAGTTAAAACATAATCTACACTTGTTTCTTTTCACAATCAAGTTCTTTTAGATTCTTGAACTTGTCAATTAATGAATGACTTTTGTTAAATGCAAATGAATACTTGTTAATTAACAAAGGAATAATTATCAATTAAAAAAGAAAGACATGAGTATTATAATCTTTTTCTATTTAAAATTATTTTCAAATCCATCCTCTGATCGTGTTCTATGTGAAACCTAAGGTTGTTAAACTCGTGAGTTTAAGTAAACTTATGACATGAATGTAAACTCAAAATATAAATTCAAATCATAATTCGTAAGAGTTTATCTCTATTAATAAATAACTTTTAAAAATATATTCTTAAATAATTAAAATATAAAATATGATCATAATGTAATTTAAACATATTTCAGATATGAATAATTGAAATTAAATCTGCCCACATTCATAGATTAGTATACTCAACATAGAAATTTTAAAATAGGGTAAGTTATTTTTAGTACCTTTTGTTTTCTTTTTTATTAATATTAGTTTTTTGTTTTTTTAAGTTTTATTTTTCATTGAATCGGGTCTTACCAGTTTTATAATCAAGTTTTACGTATTATTTACCTATTTCATTCAAAAAATTTATGAGTGAGTTGACATGATTTTATAAATTAGAAACATAAAAATGGTAAATTTAGAAAGTCAACTCACAAGCTTAGCTGAGTTTTATCTAATTTGAGTTTATGAATGAGTTAATATAATTTTTAAGTTAGAAATGTAAAAACGAAAGATTAAAAAAAGTAAATTTGAGAGTTTGACAGCAATGATAAAACCCACACTAATTCCCTAATCCAAAGATGATTTCCTGGCTCCAGCACCAAAGAATCATTCCTGTATAATTACTAATTATCAATATTCTCTCCGTCCTAAATTATAAGATATTTTTAGATAAAATCTTACATATCAATAAATCTTATTAAATACACCTAACGACCTTATCTTTTCAAAATAAAAATATAAACTTTAAAAAATATCTATTATTTAATATATTAAAAAGAGAAGGAATAAAAATTAATTATAGAGAGAGAAAGAGTAATCTTAAAATTATTGCATTTAATAAAACATTAATTTACTTAAAGTGTCTTATATTTGAGATAAAAAAATTATTTTAAAAATATCTTATAATTTAAAATGGAGAGAGTATAAAAATTTCTATCATGACCGAATGCTTTAAATTGTTTTTTTAAGTTTTAAATAAATTAATTACTTTCTAGCTGCGATGGTTTCTTTCCTTTTTTTTTTAAAAAAAAAAACAATTTAAACGCACACCCACCTTCAAAGACCCTCTTCCCGTTTAAATATCTCCAAAAAGGGGATTGTCCCATGTACCTTCCCAATACAATGTTCACGGTCACCAACTCTATTTATGTCCCTGTAAAGATTTAAAGACTAATTTATTCTTCAGGCCAAAAAAAGAAAAAGAAAAAGACTAATGTATTCTGACACACTTCTATTTTGATAGATATATGTGTGTGTATATCAATCAATCAATTATATATATATATATTGGCTAAAATTATTTCTAGTTTATTTAATTAATTATTAATCAATTAATTAGACGTGAGTGCCGTGTTGTATTGTAGTATTGCGTGGTATCTTAATAATTAATGCACCACTTTCTTTCTTTTCTTTTCATACATAATGTACCACTTTCTACATATAAATGTCGATAATATGTCAATATCATCAATATATAATTAATTTAATATATCATATAAAAGTTGTGTGAGCCAGCCGCCTTAATAAATGACTAGTCTCATCACATCACATGAACAACACGGGAGGCAAATTTTTAGCTAAATTGGATATGGCGTGTTCCCTATAATCTATCTAATGACAATATTCCATATTATAATTTTATGTCACATTATTTCAATTGATTTTATCTTTATAGTAAAATATATAATTAATTTTTTGCATTTTTTCTTTTCATTATCATTAATGTTATAATCAATTTATATTTAATATCATTTAAATGTTATAATTTTATTAGATAAATAATAAATAATGTGATACATCTTCTGTGTTTAAGAATTTTTTTAATAGGAGATCCAATAAGTGCTCTTGATTGCCCCTCGGCATATTGTATACTCTTTTTATGATGATTAATAACAAGCCTACATGAGTTGCATCTTGAGGATTCACCAGAATGAGGGTATGCCTTTGGGCTCAAAAGTGCATCCATAAATCGGTAGTAAGATTTGATCTCAGTGAAGAATCAGGATATACTGTCGTTCTTGATGGTCAGTGCAGATCCGAAGGGGAAGGTGAGATCAGATGATGAAGTTGCTGATAAAGTTATGGGATTGACTACAGCAGCTTTTAACTCTCCATGCATCGCTTTGACGTTCGCCATGAAATGCTTGGCAGAAAACCCTCAAGTTTACCAAAGGATCAGAGATGGTACGTACGTGGGGGTGTGTGCATATAAAATCTTTTTGTGATTCCTTTTTCTGGATTGTAATTGGTGTCTGATTAAAAGCAGAGCAAATGGAGATTGTTGCATCTAAGCAAGCGTTTAATTTTCAATTTGTTAAATATTCATTTGATGAGACTCTATTTAATAAAAATTAATTTAATAAAAGTTAATTATTATAATAAAATTTATATTTAAATACATTTTTTTAAAAGTTAGTTTAATATATTAAAATTTATTTAGTTTGTGATAGTGAAATGTGTTTTTAAATATACAATTATTAAAAAAGATATTGATTTATGATGATTTATAATTTTTATTATACAAATATAATATATTTAAAATATTTAAAAAATGTGATAAAGATTTTAAAGAATGTAAAATTTGATCTATAATGCTAAAAATTTGGTCCTAATTATTTGTATTTTTTTAATTTTTAATTTTAGAAAATATAATAAATATTTATAATTTTTATTATACATTAATGTTAAAAATTAATATGATTAATTATTCAATTTATAATGCTAAAAAAATTGATATCTAATTATTATTATTGAAATAATAATTATATTTTAATGAATTAACTATTTTTTAAATAAAAAAATAAGATATTAAACTTGAGATAGTATGGTCAAATAACATCATACTTTTTAAATCTATTTTTCAAAAGTTTTAAATAGTTACGTTTCAAAAATTCACTTTCAACTATTATTTAAGTATATTTTTAAAATGTGCTTTCTTGTAAAATATTTTATTTAAATAATTTTTAACTTTTTAAAAGTTAAATTTTTTTTTTGAATATGAAATATGAAACAGAAGAAAACCAAACAGATCCTAAAGAACCTCGAGGGCTCTGACCCTGAACGACATACAGAGAATAAAATATTCATGGAACGTGTTGTTGGCAGTGATGAGAGTGATCCCTCCTCTTCAGGGAACCTTCCGAGAGGCCACGTCTGACTTTACATACGACGGCTACATTGTTCCTAAAGGCTGGAAGGTAGGGTCCAATATTATATTATCATGAAACCAGACTTCATTGAACAAATCCATGCCTTTTTTTCCCCCCTCCAACATGCTAACATGCATGTTATTAGAACGTGGGAGTAAGCTGACTCGTCTTGCTATGACAAGTTCCCATAGGATGGAATGAATCTTAATAAGAGATATGATTTCTTTTTTCTTGAATGTAATACTCTCTCTGTAACAATTTATAATAGCACATTTGGAAGCGATTTGAAATCTCAAAATATAGGATACTATACTTTAACAAAAATAAGATTTTACTAATTATGCTTTTTAATATTAATCTTCTCATTATATTGTCTTTTTAATATTTTTTTTACAAATGATGTATTAAATGAATGAAATTTTCTTAAGTTTATATTTTTTTAAAAAAATAAGAGTAAAAATATATTTAATGAACTTTATTGATATATGTGATTTTACCTAAAAGTGTGTTATAAATTAAAGTGAAGGTAGAATAAGTTAATTTCAACTAATTCACGCATATCAGAAAGTGTTGTTAGCACATTAAAGTTTAAAATTGAAATAATTTTTAATATTACACTATTAGTAATTACATTATGAAAACCCCATATAATGTCTCCTTCCTTACACATATAATGTCTTTGGTTTGTGCGTGAGGCAGGTGTACTGGACGGTGAGCTCTATCAAGAAAGACCCAAAAATATTTGCAGAACCAGACAAGTTTGATCCAACAATGTTTGAGGATGAGATTCCACCATTCTTGAACATGCCATTTGGAGGGGGTCCAAGAATTTGCCCTGGAAAAGATTTTGCGAAGCTTCAAATGCTCATTTATCTTCATTACGTCGTCACCTTCTTCAAATGGCAACTCATCAATCTCAATCCCAAGGTTCTTGCAGCCATGAACGCCATACCACTCGATGGCGTTTGGGTTCGTCTTCAGCGCTGTGTTCAGTAGACGAAGCACAAAGCAACCTCCTTTGTGCATTGTATATTGTAAAAAATAGATGAAAGCAGCCATGGCTATATCATATATGTGTCGTGTGTACGTGTGTATGTGTGTGTGTCATGTGTCATATATGTGTCATGTTTGTGTGCTTGATCGTATGTACGTATTTTAATAAAAATAGCTTCCTAAAGTTTGAAACCTCTCTTTTAGTTAGGGGTGTTCAAAGTTGTACTTGTTTTGGTCAACTAAAAAAAAAAATTTTGGGACGGGATGTTTGTGTGATGGATAGAAAAGGAATCGGGTTAGGACAGGACTTGAGATATCTTTCAGGACGTTTGGTCCTGTCTTGATATATATATATATATATATATATATTTCTTTTATTATATATGCTAATTATTATATCATTTTTATTGTTTATTTGTTTATGTTTTCTGTTTATTTTTACTTTATTTAATTTTACATATTTTTTGTGATATTTGATCTAACCAAGCAAGTTGTGAAATATTTTTTCATAATTATTAATATTAATTTCAGAAATTCAAAATGCAAATTTGGATTGCTGTCATTCAAGTAATTTAATGAGTTTATTTTTTAAGCCGATACTTGGACTCAATTGTTGTTGCTTATTAGAACATGAGCTTATAATAAGCTCTAACCAAATAGCCTATACATATTGGAGCGTCTGATGTCTTTATATTTATCTATTTATGTGTTAAAACTCAATTGATTAATCATATATATATATAAAAGTTATTTGTATGTGTTAGTTTAGTATCAGTAGTTATTTGAATATATAAGTATACGTGGCTAAAACAAGTAAGAGTGGTTATTAGTACGTTCCAATCCGACCTCAGTTCCATTCCAAATTAGAATGGGATGGGACATAAGAAAATTTGAGTCCCCATTATTTTTTGGGATTTGACAGAGGATTTAAGTGTCTCGGTTCTGTCACATTCAGTGGGCACCTCTACTTTTAATTTCCAAAAGTTTCAAAACAATGATGATGATTTTCCTTTTACATCGATCTTTCGATCTCTCCTACCTAAAAGTTAAAAACCATAGGTTAAAATATTGTGTTTTGTCGTGTTATTGACGAGCATCATGACATCGGGCTTGATTCTTTATATATATAAAATTCTGTTTTCTGACGCCATGTCGCTAGAATTTGTTCGTGCACATACAATTGACTTTTCTTTAATAGCAGTTTTGACATTCAATAACAAATATCTGACCCCTTTCACCAGTTATTTCTTTTTCTATCCGGAATTGTTTACTTTTATTATTTACAACATTCCCGATTTGAACTTCATGTGTCTTTCATTAGTTCGATATAGAATTTCATTGATTCTTTTAATTCATTCAAGAGCACTAGTAACGAGAGTGGACTCTTAAAACTTTTCATATATAATGAATTGAATTGTAATATATCAAAAGATAGTGAAAAATGGCAATACATATGTATGACTGATGAGTCATGCCCAATGATCATTGATCTATGGATTTAACAAAATTCTAGCTGGTGAAGAAATGAAAACATTCTTATTTTCTAGTCAACTCTAATTAACCAAGCCACAATGACATACTGAATTTCCTATAACTCTATATAATTAATAAAGCTCCTTAATTCTTACACTTTTTTTTTACCAACATTAATTCTTACACTTTAGAAGAACAAAGAGCATAACTATTTTTAACTTCCTAGGATTCATGATATCTTTAGAAATTCTTTTACTTTACTTTCTGAGTTAAGCTGCTCATCAACAATTCGACGTGAATTGAATCATATTTCTTGAAGAATTAGTCTCACATCCTCAACTGTCTGTGAATACCTTCAAAAAAAAAAAGTACAACGTAAATTTTTTTTTTTAATTCGTGTTTCATTTTTTAGGATTGAAATACAAAAATGCTCTGTACCGACAAAATGGTCATCCCTGCACTCCAATGAGCCCAAGAATCTCCTTCTCCAGCGATTTTGTGGATGTTCACCAAGCTCTTAAGCAAGAAAGACTCAAACCCTCGTGCTTGATTTTACTTATATGGAGGGAAAAAAGCAGAAAAATGTTTAACCAGACAAATTGAATTGGTTTTTCAACTGATAATTATACTTGGTCCTTTCGCTTCTTGTCTCTTTTTTCTAGATTATACTAAAACCTTTTCCATTTAAATAATTCTTCAGATAAATTTGTCTCCCTCTATCATTTATGGAGACAGGTTTGTGCAATTCTGTTTTGGCCTGAAGTGTTGGTGCAATTCTTTACTAAAAGGTTTTTCCCCTTTGCATGTTTAGTGGTCTGGTTATCAGCCTATTATAGTTCTTTCTTCAAGGACAGATGTATTAGGCTTTTAATTATGTGCACTTAGCATGGACTATGAATATGTATATAAGTGTGAGCCTACCCCATTTTGGTAATGCCTTCTCGACCAATTCCGACTCCAGTAGAGCAGGAAAATAACTAATGTCATATGTACCGTGTTCTTTACATGTATATTTCACATGAACAATATATAGCTTTGGCTTTTGCTTAATTTATTATCCTGAATAATTTTGTTACACGTTAATATCTAGATAATGATGAGAGAGCCCTCAGTGGGTTTTGTGGCTGCTGCTTTAAAGGATACAAGTCTAAAATGCTACAGAGGTTCAGAAGATAGTAAGCCTGCTTGACAAGTTGGACTATCTTATGAGGGTAACAAAATTTTGCATCTGATGTAGGCTATGAAATTCTGTAGTGGTAATATAAAGCTAGTTGTTTCTTGAACACTATATTTATTTGATTCGTTTGGTAATTTGATTTTCCAGTATGACTCATACAATGATAGAAACTAGTAATTTCAGTCAGCATTCAAGTTAATCCCCACTTGTGCTCCCCTTCACGAAACAAGAAATTAATTATTAGTAATTAGTCAGATATCAAAATGCTTTTATTTTATGCAATGATTTAAAAATCAGACCGAACCGGATGGTTGGACCGTCAACTGGTCAGGCTAATGGTTTGATCAAACCAAAAAAATCGTTTGAGGAGTTGGGCTGAATTGGGCCACTTTGAACCGGTGATCGGGACGGGAACCAAAATCAAGCCGGAAACTTATTGGACTGTTCAAAAAATGTCTCTTTTTTATATTTTTTTGTCAATTTTTTTTAAAATGACCAATTTTTTTTAATCATTTGATGTTATATTGCATTATGTGGTTTATTAAGTTATGATAAACTTAAAATATTTAATTTTATTTTTAAGTTAAGCAACAATTTCATATTTATTTTTTATATTTAAATTATTATATAAATATAATTTTTTTATTTTAATTATTACGTCACTGGTTCGACTACTGGTCCAACATGATTGGACCATGCGAACTGTAAACCGTTAGCCCTTTTGGTTCAATATCCGATTTGGTTTTAAAAACATTGGTTTATGCAAGATTTATAAGGGGAGACATTTAAAAGCTAAGCTAATGGCAAGTTTGGTCTCACCTTTAGCTGCTTTTAATTGTAAGCTACCTTCTGAACTATGAATTTCAGTTCATATCTCGTTACATTTTTGTTGAGCTCTCTTTCCCTCTTACTTTTTGGTCCCATATTTAATGTGCTCACTGTATTCATGTCTTCCCTCCTGTGAAAGTGAGTCCACAATACAATAGAGCTACTATAGGCGGTATGTTGGAGGGTCTGAACAGAGCCGTAGCCATAGACGGGAATCTACTATTCTTTGTTTCGAATGACATTGTTGAAGTTCTCATATCCTGAGGACTATCTCTCATGTTTGAATGCTAAAGTGAATTAGTTGCAAGATCATGTCCAGGGGCGAAACCAGCTCTAGATTTTTTTTTGGGGGGGTGGATTTTAAAAATAAATATACACATATATATGTTACAAAATTTTGACTAATTTTATAACTTATAAAATATCATTAAATGAAAAAATTGTTTGCAATTATATAAATATTTAAAAATTCATATTTTTTTAATTATAAAATCCTTTGATATAACTTGTTTGGAAGAGGACAACCCATTGAATCACATTTAAATTTTAAAAGATTAGCTTCATGGCTGTCGACTGTAAAAATATCTTAAGAATTGAGAAAAAAAAAATATTACAGGATCTAGCTAAAATTTATTTTAATGGACAATAAAAATTAATTAAAATAAAAAACTAAAAAATTGAAATGACTCAGGTATGATATCCTTGAAAATAAATATGATCGACATAAGAACATCATTTCCTTCAATAAACTTTTAACTTTCTGGGTGGACAAAAAAAGAATAAGCTTAATTTAACTGGACCTCGCCATCATCCCCACCCCCCCCCCCCCCAAACTACTTCCTTCACACGCCATTGATGAGATTAGAGAAGACAGTGGTCTTCAGTCTCCCTGTTTCGGCTTCTGGGAATTCACTTCCTTTCTATCTCATCATGTATAAAATAGGTGAGAAGTTGCATGGCCCCCCTCAATGATAACGTAGTTTCGCCCTTGATTATGTTAGAATTTCATTGCATGCTGTATTAAATGTCTATGCTTTTTATGTTGACTTTATTGAAATTATTTATTTTTATTATTTTTTTATATATAGAATCTTTTTCTATTATGGTATTTTGTGTTTACTAGATTTTTTTTAAGGAATGGTGGGTTGGGGAAGGGAATAAGTTGGATAGGAAATCAGGATTTTCAAATTTCACAATTGTTTTCTCAGAGAAAACAATTATTAGTGAATATAATTGCAAGTTTATGATTAACTAGATGTGGTGTCCTAGGTGAGGTAGACAATTCATGACTTGCATACAGTGCAGCTTCTATAGATTATATACATATACATATACACATACATATATATACTGATTTTTATATTAATTAAAATATAAAAATTAAATATACAACAACAACGAGCCTTATTTTGTTAGGTGGGGTTATAACTTAAATTTGTATTTCATTTAAAATGAAAAGTGGGGGAGGCACACACCTTTTTTTTGCTAATGATTGTGATTGGGCTTTCCCACATATACTGAAGAG